TCTGAGCTGGATGGTTAGTTTGCGAAGCTTTCATCACCTTACTGGGTGACATCTTCAGCGCATACTTCAATTTGAAGTATGCGCTGAAGATGTCACCCAGTAAGGTGATGAAAGCTTCGCAAACTAACCATCCAGCTCAGAGAACAAAACCACATCAAAAACAATAAACGTGGTTACACGAACTGTATGATGTCAACCTTATCTCACTAAAGGACTTTATTTTATTTCGACAAGACCGTCAATGTTGTAATAAGAAAAATGGTGGTGGAGTTGCAAATTTTATTCACTCCAAATGGTCTGTTTCTAATAATGTCTGCTTCTCCTTCTCAAATGACTTCATTGACTGTATTACTGTCAAATGTCGTCCCAAACATCTCCCCAAATATAAACAAATCTTTGTTATAAACATGTATATTTCTCCTAGTTGCTCACCATCTGATCTATCTAATTTTTCTGATGAATTCACCATGTTTGCTACTGCCAACTTCGACAACTCTCTATCCATTATTACTGGGGATTTCAACTCCTCAGATTGCTCCTTTCTTGAAGCACTTGGTCACACAAACATAGTCAAATTTCCCACTCGACTTGACAAAACACTCGATCTAGTTTTTACTAATGACGAAGGAGTATTTGAAACACGTAGACGCTCACCGATATTAAACTGAGATCACTGCATTGTCCGTGTTTACCAAAAATATACAGCAAAACACATATTAAAGTCTTCTCACACCTGTCTGTGAAAGCACAACAAAGATGCTATACAAGTGACAACCTATTCAATCTAAGATGCATGTTAAAAGATACTAACTGGGATCTATTCTATGAAAGTACATTAGATGACTCAATCACCAATATAATGGATTATCTCAAGTTCTGCCTCGACATATGCTGTCCCAAACAAACACTGTTCAAACGCCTCGACCGCTTCTCGTCTCCCCATCTAAACAACTTCGCAGGCAAGAAGAAATGTTATATAAATGCAAAGACAAGTTAGGACTTAAAAAGATTAATGCTCAAATCAAATCTGAAATCAAAAATCCTAATGCTATCTATAACCAAACACTTTTATGATGCAAATCTCCTATCAGCATGTGGAAATTTTTCAATGATATTACTGGCAATAGTAAGCGATGTGATGTTTTTCCCTCTTATGATGTTAACGCTCTTAATCAGTCTCTTATACGCTCTACTTCTACTATGACCACTTCTAACGTTACTAATCATGTAGCTGATAACTTCCAGGACTTTAACACTCTTGATGTCTTAAAATGTCTTAAACTCTTGAGCCCTCATGTACTCTTGGCCCTGATGGTATACCCGCATATGTTCTAAAACAATGCGCAGATGCTTTATGTTCTCCTCTAGCTAATATCCTAAATGCTTCTTTCTCCAAAAACGTTGCACCTGTTCCATGGAAAGACATTAAAATAGTCCCTGTCCATAATAGCAAGAAAGTAAAGTTCAGACCCATTGCCATCACTTCCCCGTTTCTAAAACTGATGGAAAAACTAGTACTTCTTAAACTCTAAACCTCCCTTAAAAGCTTTGAAGACCCCAAACAATTTGCCTACAGACAGGGCAGGAGTACTTTAGACGCTACAGCCGTCTTATATAACAGTATCGTCTCATCATTAGATAAAGGTGCCAAATAGGTCCGCTCCACGTTTCTCGACTTCACTTCTGCTTTCGACTCTGTACCTAGATGTCTCTTGCTAAATAAGCTCTCGACGACACAAACTGAGTCCTAGGTCACTGACTGGTTGCATTCCAACTTTTCAAACAGAATGCAGTATACCGTATACAAAGGCAAATCCTCCTCTGCTGTACTCACAGAAGCTAGTGCCCCCAAGGTGATGTACTTTTTTCACTTCTCTTTTCTTTCTTTCTATATGACTTACCATCTTCAAATGACATTAATTTTGTCAGATATGCTGATGACCTAACTGTGTCTTTGCCTGTCAAATGTCAAGGTGACTACTCCAAACTAAACGGCTTTTTATCAGAAATCAGCCAGTGGTTCAAGGAAAACGGTCTAACCTTAAATCCCTCTAAATGCCAAACAGTCAATTTCACCTTTAGGCACAAATCTCACCTAAACAAACTGGTTAGCACTCACGAGGTGTGGAACATAGATGGCACTGAAATAGAAACCAAGTCTGAAATTAAATACCTAGGCGTCATTCTATCTTCTGATCTTTCCTGGTCGTCTCATATCTTGATGATTTCTGAGAAAATATTCCGTCTTACCTTCTACATCAAGAAGTTAAGACATTCTGGTATAACCCGACCCTTACTCCTACAATTCGTCAACTCCCGTATTCTGCCTACTATTCTCTATGGTTCCCCCTTAGTTTTTCCTGGGCTGGCTACTGAAGAAAAACTATACCTTATTACGCAGGATGTTAAAGGTTGTCAGCAGGGTAAGCAACGTGCCACATAACTGGCTTGTTAATATTCTGGTCGACAGGCGGGTACATGGACTCATGTGAAAAATGGGCTAAGTTCATTCTATCTAACTCACATCACCCTCTTCATTCACAACTCTCCCCTTGTATCTTATCAGGCAGGCAAATCGAGTAGCTTTTATAGAAAACTATATGCTCGCTTTAGCAAGTACAAAAACTCAGCCATACCCTACTTAGCTCGTGTTCTGTAAGATAAAGAAAGCATTAGGCGTGAAACTTATAACTTATCAAATAGTCAGTAGAACAACTGGATCTCGTCTTTCCAACTCATATCATTTATAGGTAGAACGTTTTCTTTCATTCTTCTCCGTTCTTTCACACTCTGTATATCTCGACTTTTTCGTTACCGCTTACGCCAGTAAATATGCTAGCATCTACTTTTCTAGCACCTTCAAACATTCTGTTTAATTTTGGCTTTGCTACCGATATGCTAATATGTTGTTGTCAAAAATAACTGAGATTACCCATAATCTATGTGTAATTTTATTTTATTGTTAATTTACTAACTGGATGCAATACTGTAGTAAAATGCTGAGAATTCGATTCTGCATCACAAGTACTGTTTTGGAATATAGGTATTATCATTATCATTACAGATGAAATTAGAAGCAAATATAGTGAATATACGACTTAAGATGTATACGAGGGGAAACAATTAGGTAAAGTTACCGAGGATTTTTAGAATACGTATCCTCCATGTGCAGTGGTGCGTGTTAAAGTTATCTCAATTGATAGTGCTTCATAATCTCATACATAATCTCTTCATAATCTCAGTCTACACCAATCAAAGGACTAGACGCATCACACTAGTTACTAGTGTCAAATCAAAATTTCATACCCTTCCTATCTGGTACCGAACACCATATTCCTAAACCCATTATTACTAAGTATACTGCTCCATCCAATATAAGAGATTCAATGGTAACACATGCAGTCAAAATCTCTGGTCGTTTCATGTCAGACTTAAAAGGTTTTATAAATATCTAAACCATAGAAGTTCCAAATTTTCTATAGTAATTTGAGTACTGAGTCAGAGTGGATCATTAAATAAATAAACACGCTACAAATTTTTCATGTAGTTTTGTTCACCGGACTGCTTGGTTTGATTACGAAGCTTTCACTATGTTTTCAGACAACAGCTTCGGCGCAGACTTCAAAATTAAATCTGTACATTCTAAAAAAATGTTACAATAAATTTATAAACTTGTCAGCAACTGTTCATATGATTTATGCTATTTTTGTAAGTGAAGCATTGATCAAAGAGAGAGAGTTTCGAGTAAGAGTGACTCATTCAACCTGATGATTTCGGTTCAGCATATTACACTGACGACATTATAGCAAAAGAAAAAGTGATTCATGTTCATTTGCTTGGCAGGAAAGAAATTAAACGTGCTTTTTTATGTTACATTATAGTATAAAGATGTATTGGCATAGCGCACATAAATTTAAATTTATGCAAAACTATTAAAAATGTTGAATTCATTAGCTATTAGATGGTTAGAGGTAGTAAGCAGTAAGTCTTGAGCCTAGGTGACACAGGCACAAATTTCAGGAGGGACATGAGTTCCTTCAAAGTTGCAGCTGCGTCTTACTGATTAGGGCCAAGAAGCAAGCAACCAAGGTCCAAAGATTCCTGCCAATCACCTTCAACTATCTAACAACAACGATTAAGAAAGAGTACACTGTGATGTCAGGCCACCTAGTGGCATGGTAGCCCCATTGCAAACTTGACTGATAGAATTCAAGAGTTGGTTTGTAAGGATTAAATTTGTTTTTTCGAGTTTGACCACCGACTGATATCATTTAGAGAACCATTGAAAACCGACAGGGAGTCCTGGACAGCTGGCTTATCCTAGTTTGGGAAGTACGTACCCACTGATGCTCGCTAGTGACTTGTTACAGGACGGAGTTTCCTGGAGTTCTAGTGAGAAGTCGTGACCATTGACGTCCATCCAATCAAGTATGAGGACGGACTTCCCACCAATGACACTGGCTGGTGGTCGCACTAAATCATGAATTGGTAGAAGTTAGAATTCATGAGCAGGCCACTGAGGAATCGTGTCCCAGTGACTGAATGGTATACGAGATTGCTTGCCTTTTAACCGAAAGGTCATGGGTTCGCACCTCCCGTGGTGAGTTCATACTGGCGAAGACTCCTGTACTAGGGCTGAGGAAACAGCTTTCCAGTACTACCTGGTTTCCAATGGTCCTCTAATTGATAGAATTCAATCTGAATCAAACAAATGACTAGACGCATGAAACTAATTGCTAACTGATGTCCGATCAAAGCAGTCATAAGTGAAAGTATGTCTTGTTTTGTCATGTTCTCCCGGCTAGATGATTTCATTAGGAATTTCACGTTACAGTTAACAGTGAAAATGTTGTCCAGAAATGTAATAGAAGTCTTGCTATTAAATCGCCAAACTCACAGAATACAATAACATCAAGAAGCATTCTCCTGAGTAAGGATTCTTCTTCAACACAACATATATATATATATGAATAAAACTAATTAAAATACTTTACACCTACGTTGTATTCGAGCACAAGGTCCAAGACGTTCAATTTGTATTTCATCCAGTTGTCCAACACCAGCTTCTTTTAGATGTTTCACAAAATTCAACGATGGATGCTGTAAATCTTTTCTTATTTCTACAAGTAAACGATTTTCTAATTTAGCTATTTCTCTTTCAGGACAATCTGTTGTAGGAAATAATGTACGCTTATTTCTATGATGGCCTTTTTGTAGTTTATTTGGAGGTTTAAAATGTGAATTATTGGGTGAAGTAGACAAATTTAGAGATTTACAATCTTCACATGTAAAATTTTCATTTGATACTGAAATAGTTCCAGTGAAGTCAATACTACGTTTTACATTTTGATGAATATTTTTAGACCATTGATCCCAGTATTCTTGTTGAGTGTATGAATCCACGATTTCTGCTGTTTTGTTTGTATTTACACTTCCTGAAAGAATAAGCACTGATTTTTGAGCCCATATTACAGAAAATCCAGATGCTAATGTGAAGGGAAAAGAACAGAAAATCAAACAAATAACTTATGACAGTCGATATAAACGGTAAAAATAAAATCAGCATTAATGTTTAAATAGTATTTTAATCCTATACTCTTCTAATATAGAGTAAATTTCCGAACATATTACCTGGAGTTCTAGTGAGAAGTCATAACCAGTAGGGTGCAGCGGGTCGGGTGTGAGGACAAATACTCGCCACCGAAGACATTGGCTAGTGGTCGCACTATGTCGTGAATTGGCAGAAGTTAGAATTCGTTGGCCATTGGATCGGGTTCCAGTGGCTTAAAGGTATACGAGCTCGCATTGTAACCAGAAGGTCCTAGGTTCGAACCCTGTCGGTGGTTGCGTGCTGCTGAAGAGTCCCAAACTAGGGTTGAGGAGACAGCTTTTAAGTACTCCTAGGTATTCCAATGGTTCTCTAACTGATGTCAGCTCATGATGAAATCCTGAAACCAATCAAATCCCTATAAACCAACACTTAAAATATCAAATAAAGTATAATTATATTTTAATAGTTTACACACAATGATAAGTTTTGTTACAAAATATCTTGTGCTGACTGTCCGACTAAATATGTGGGGCAAACGTCCAGATCACTCAAAATAAGATTGAATGAACATAAACGCCTAACCAAAGGTCAAACAACAGGGACACAGGCTTACAAGAATCTTGAAAAAAATTCATCGATAGCTGGACATTCATGGGAAAAAAACCACAATATTGATTGGAACAATGTGTGTATTCTTAAAACAAACATGAACAAATGGAAAGAAAGACTCATAACAGAATCGATATTCGTTAAATCACACCGGATACAGGTAACAAGGGTGACTCAATACAACTATCAACAACTCGTAAAACTTGGAATATAATTCTGAATACAAACACATGAATGAACGTGAAATATAATTCTGAATACAAAAAAAACATGAATGAGCAAAAAAATGAAGCATATATTTGAGTACAAATCATAAATGTGTGAATACCACAATCCCAACGGTGGTGTGAACACGGGCAGTAATTTTGCTCGAAATATTACCAATAACAAAACTTATCATTGTGTGTAAACTATTGAAATATAATTATACTTTATTTGATCTAATCCACAATGCTCAAGCGTTTTACTGACTTAAAACATGTTAAAATATGATTTAATTCGAGACTTTCCTGTCAATTGGTTGAACCGAAATCCTCGGTCTTATGTCGGCTACTTGTTCATATGCTTCAATGGCGTCTGGTCATGTAACTTAAAGTCAGTGCGCATCCTAGATTTTACTGCCAATTGACTTCATTTTAATGTTCGACTTAGAGGTCTTGAATGCTAACATTCTTCTAGCATGTTGGAATATTTAGGTAAGGTGCATAATTGTTTTATCTTAGCTTAGTTCCTTATTTATTTAATAAGAATTTTTCTCTAAACTATGGACACTGGCAGTATGTAATTCCACATTAATTGGTTTCCGAAAATTTATCCAATAATGATCAGTACTGATTCATAGTATGATGTATCTAATGAACAAACTAATTATAGAATGCTATCACTATTCTTAAAACATTTCTTGACAGTTTCATTTCTCCAGTGTGTTAAAGTACTTTAAAATTGCGATTTAACTATTTTATTTTGATTATTCAGATTATAGGCAATTGACAAGAGACCCAAGAAATAAATTGGACTGCAGATGTTGTTAACACTCTCTTCAGGAAGATATTTGAATGCATTTCCAAGAAATATTATCAAGACGATATGCATTAAAGAAAATTAGACCTGAGAATAACTTAAATCAGATTCACAATGTGCAAATCAATTGGCGATTTTGATAGAGAAAGAAAGACTAATAATAACAATAATAACAATTTCGCTTTATTCCAGAAACAGTACTTGTGGTACAGTGTGGAATTTTCAGCACATATCTACAATATTGCATCTAATTTCATCGTACATTTAAAAGGAGTATTATAAAAAAATAAAATATATATAAAAAAAAACCAAAAAAAGAAACACAGAAATAACAAAAAAATGCAAATAAAAAGACCAAGTAAAAAGGAAGATAAACACAAATAATGAAAAAATATTTCAGTATTGGTTAGTGGAAGCTACGATATGTGTATGCGTGGTGAACAGTAACAGCTATAATCATACGGGAAATTATGAGATGTTCTTAAAAAAAATGTTTATAGCCAAGATGATCAGTTAATTTGATTGAACAACACTAAGCAATCATAAGATAAACATTTCAGGTTGTGTTTTTTTTTATTGTCAGCACTAATGCGGTTGTTTGTAGTACTAGTGTGAGGAATCATGCATAATACAAAATTTTTAAGATGGTGATAGTGGCAATAACAAACAAGATTGTCACTTAAATAGTGCCGAACAAAGAACAACCACAAAACTAATGTTACATGATGGTTAATGACGGGACAATTTTTTAATAATCATAGTGATAATGTAGTCGGACCCAGTAGATGTACAAAGTAGGAATAGTATAAGGAATAAAAATGTAAGCCAATGATAATAATTTTAAGCAGCTAAGTATGTTTAAGAAGGTTGTTCACTATAGAGTACAAATAAGAGAGTGTAAGCGGGAAATAACAAGGGCCAAAATTATGTTATTAACAACAAAGCAAGTCATAAGTTTCACGCCCAATATTGTCTCTGTCACTTAGAACACGGGCCAAATATGGTATCGTTGAGTTCCTATACTTGGTTGTACGAGCATATATTATTTTGTACTGATTTCTGGTTCTACCTGATGAGACGCAAGGAGAGAGTTGGGAATAGAGGGGATGTTGGGGGTCAGAGAGTATGGTTTTAGTCCATTTCTCGCATGTATTCAGATGCTTATCCACTAATGTAGTGACGAGCTGACTGAGTTTTACACCACTAGTCCTACTAACTACCTTCAACATCCTTCTCAGGATGGTATAGTCCTTTTTCAGTAACCCAGGAAAGACTAACGGGGAGCAGTAAAGTAGAATAGGTAGGATACGAGAGTTGACAAATTGTGAAAGTAGAGGTTAAGGGACTCCAGTTAGTCTGAGTTTCTTAATGGACTACGTTAGACGAAACACTTTCTTAGAAATCGTTTGGATATGAGATGACCAGGTAAGGTCGGAAGATTTAACTAATCCGAGGTATTTTGCATTAGACTTTGTTTCAATTATAGTCCCTTCAACGCCACAGGCTTCATGAGTGCTTACTAGTGTTTGTAGATCTCTATTATGCCTAAAGGAGAAGTCGACAGCCAGGCATTTTGAGGGATTCAGCATGAGGCCATTTAGTTTAGACCACTGACTGATGTCAGACAGGAAGCTATTTAATTTGAAGCAGTCTGACTGAGACTTAACGGGAAGCGAAACAGTCAGGTCGTCTGCATATTTGACGAAGTTGATTTTGTCTGAAAGAGGTAAGTCATGTAAGAAGAAGGAAAAGAGAAACGGCGAGAGAACAGCACCCTGAGGAACACCAACTTCAGTAAGCAAAGGAGAGGAAGCTACACCATTATATACCGTGTACTGTATAAAATGATGTCATCATTCTATTGCACAGGTTCTCATCAGCTAACTCAAAACTACCTGAAATCAAAATGGTTATCTGCAATAACATTTCATACTTCAATGTTTGAAAGGTAATAAAGAAAACATTATAAAATGAACGCATCCGGAATGTAAGTATTACAATTAGCTTTAGTTTAAGTAACCATGAATTGCTATACTATCAAACTATGACAAAGTAAAGGGGGGGAGATGAAAGAAGACAGAAGAATCTAATAAACAGTGTTAGCTTGTACGTCAACATGTCAACTCAAGAAGTTCAAAGTTCATCAAATTGAAGACTTGCTTGGTGAGCTGAGCGCACTAGTGTGTATGACTGATCAGTGTAATGAAAGTAGTACGGTCATCAAGGGAGTGAGAGATTAACTACACTTTCTTTCTGTGTACATAAGTTTGGTTTGAGACGTTTGATTGGTGTAGTTGCTTCAGCAAATCGTAGTAGATTCGCTGTCCTTTGTATGTTTAATATTTTCAAGGAGCTGGAAATCTCGACAAAATGGCCCGAATCCAGAAGGTGTCTGTCTGGTAATTGCACTTTGTAGATATCTGCTTCTTTTTAAGCATAAGTTTCTCGGAATATGCTCTGAAAACCGGATAGAAACCCTTCTTTCTGTCCTTCCAATTTATTTGCTGCCCCAACCTACATAAATTTATAAATGCAGGATACTTATTCAGTTTCGATTGGCTTATACAGCATGTAGTGCTGTATAGTTTCACCAGGGTGGTTGCAGGAGAGCATCTCTTTATTGCTCCTTTCATCCTCTTTTCAACCTTTTGCGATACTGCTTGTCCTTTGTATGGGAGGCGAATGAACACTTTCCTCTATACAACTGTTAGATCCTTATCTTTCTCATCTCTTTCTTTGCTGTACTTTAGAATACATCCTTTTGGATATCTGTTTTCTTTAAGGCATTTTTCAACAAAGCTTAATTCTTCTTTAACCTTGTTAAGCGAACATATCTTCCTGAACCTGTCGCAATTCACAGAATTCGAGGTGATCTTTTCAGTATAACTTCTTTCGGAAACTGAGATTATTCAAATCACACAAAAGGAACGATCATCCAGTGTTTGCAACACTTGAACCTTGTTAGCGAACACTTCTGGTTGATGTGATTCATATGCAAATACTCATTTCAATCAATCAATCGATCGGTAGTATATAGTTTCATGCATTTAAGAATAACTTAGGAGTTAGACTGTATGCTCCTCAAGGGTAGGTGAACACATAAAGTTAACGATATATCAACACTTATTTCTTACTATAAAGATTTTATTCACTTTATATTATTCTAAAACTAAGCAGTTGAAGAAGTGTTATTGAAAATATCATTGAAAATGCGGCATTCCTTCATACACACACACACTCGCACACACACAAGCACAGACAAATATCCGGGAACATCCTATGTGATTTTTGGATTTTCCACTTAAAGATGCATACTTCCTGATAATGTATAAAAATGTGCATTCTATAGTTTGCATACTTCAAATCAGCTCGTAAAAGATTTTAGACACTTTGAAAATAGATGATACCTGGTAAAAATGCTTTTTTTTTACCTTTAAGACTAAAAACCATGCGTCATATAGGCTAGCTATGAGTCTGTCACCGCTTAGTTAATTTCATTTTTCTGGTTGATGTGTTAGAAAATGAAAAATGTCTACGGACATTTCTTTCTTATAGAACTATTTTTTTTAGAAAAAATTATTAATTCGGTTGTTTTAAATATTCCATCTGATATTTTTTGGTGACCTGCTTAAATCTCTGCGCTACTTGAATTTACTACCCACCTGAATGTACCGTATTTACTCCGTTTCATAACGTTTTAATCATATACTTATGTTCAGGAATCGCAATGTTTACTCAGGCATATTTTTAAATTTTCTAAAGGAAATGAAGGAAGGGGATTGTGAATTATTGAAGGATCCATCGGATAAGACAATACTGCTTTACTTGCCGTATTGTCATTTATCATATTACTTCAAGATTCTGCACAAGTAGTAAATACGTTACAGTAAGAAGCTTGCTAAAAAGTCTGAACTGTGTAGAAAATGAATTTTTAAGAATAGACCTATTATTACTGATATCAAAATGACAGCACAATACTGTTTAACAACAGCTAGCCGGATTGGGGACAGTTTAAATGAATCAGTCGTATGGACTAAGTCAGCCCAGGTATATCACTCTCAAGGAAGGTGTCAAAGAGATAAGACACTCTATTGCATTTAGATTACTTTCATCTCAATTAGAAGCACTGCTAGTTGGTAAAAGTCATTTCTATTTACTTATACTACTCACAACCATAAACTGCACTGAGAAATTATGTTACTACTTGGATTAGATAATTTTATTTTTTGCTTGAATACTGAATGGATTGAGCAGTGTAGAATGTAGTTAAAAGACAAAAAGGACAGAGAGGAGAAATTTTAGGTTTTCAATCATCTACACCTCTACTGTGACATATATATGTATATGCTATCTTCCTCAGATAACGATGAACGATGATGTTCGGAAATCCGAGGATGGTTGTGTTTAATGGTTCTATTCGTAGCTCGGTTTTAGTACACTTTGTAGATACAGAGCATAAAGTTGATGTTAGCATGGAATTTAAAGTTGTCTATTGTACTCCTATCAATTCTAATTTTGCTTTATAAGTTCGTCTTCCACACTGGGCTGAAGCTATCGAAATCTATCTTATGAATCCGAACGTGTGTTAACAAAAAATTCATACATCTAATTTATTACTATGGCCATTAATATGTGAATATATAAAACTAACAATTTCCCACTCCTTCTAAGCCATTTGCAAGTTACCAGTCTTCTGTTTTATCATTTTACCTTCATCTACAGTAGTTTTTTACGCGATTATTTTGAACGCGGAGTCACCCCTCACTCCTCTTGTTTCTAAAATACGCACTAAATATTATTATTATTAATCCCTTGGGTTCCAAGTGGAAAACCGGGTGTCAACAACACACCTCCACTTTCTTCTATTCCTTGCTGTCCTCTTCAGCTGGCTAGCCACACGACTGACTATAATCTCTCATCTCCTCCTCCTAATCACCATACGATCTCCTCCATATCACTCTCGCACCGACGACCTCCTCGTCGCCTCCCGCTCGGGTTTCACTCTAGTGATGGCCTGCATTGAAGGGGACGTTACTCGATGGCCTCCTCAGTGGTGAGTGAACGATCCAGCTCCATTTTCTCCTACATACTTGTTGAGCAATCTGCTTGTACTCGGTTGGTTTGTTCATCGCCAGCCGGACAGACAGAGTTTCTTGTTACTTATTCTTTCTGACCGGCCGGCCGACCTGACTTCCATCTGGCCATTTGATCTTCAGTATGCAGCCAGCCCGTGACGGCGGAATCTGTAGATAAAAGTCTGCAGTAGCCTGTTGGAAATGCTTTTCGTGATTCACACGCAGTGTAAGTTTCTGACCCGTATAGGAGCATTGAGTGATTGACTGACTTCACATTTGTGTTGAACAGAATCTGAATCTTGTTCTTAATGAAACGGAGTGCGGTAGATTCGTAAACTGATTTCAGGTTGATAAAGGTGTGTCTTGCCTTTCCGATTCTGCTTGGCTATGACATTTTCATTCGCTTGCCTGTAGTTGAAATGATGCTTCCTAGATTATTGAAGAAGATAACCTCTATTAAATCTTTATGCAACGCCCTCTATTAATTTTTAAGAATTATTTCCACCCTTTAACTGTTGCACTTTGCCTTGATAGTTACTTTTCAATAATCAACTGATGTTACAGACTGTATTCTGTTTACTCAAATGTCTTAATGAAGCCATTTATTGGTATTAGAAGATTGGGGGAAATCGGCCACAGGAAGCTTTCCAACTAGGCTTCGTGCTAGTTAGCACTCACCAGTCATCAAGGCGTATTTGCAACCTCCGAGGAATTCATGTCCCTTCTGAGATTCGAACCCACGTCAACTAGTGAGTACTGCACTCAGAGAGAGAGAGAGACGTTACCACTGAGCTATTCGGACTCACCGGCGATTGACTTGCTGTAGTACCGTATTGGATATTTTTGACTGGACACTAGTCAGTAATATCAGTAAAACATTTGAGCATTGTGGATTAGATCAAATAAAGTATAACTAGAGCAAAGTGTTTGGTCCTATCTTCCATGCAGACTGAATTCTATCAGTCAAGATTGACTAAATATAGGATTAGACACTTTATACTAGTTACTGACTAATGTCCAATCAAAAAAGCCATTTATGTTGGCTAGAGTTAATAAATTATGAGATACGGGGCAAAAATGAATGTTCACTTCTGAATGGTCATTTTTGAGCTAACTTGCTATTTCATGTGCCTTGCTTTGGTTTTTGTGAAGATGTTATTAGATAACACATGTACTTATCGTAGGAATATATGTGAAAATAATAATGCGTTAACGGGTGAAAGAATAGATGCAGGTCAAGTTAAAAGTACATGTTGATGATTGAAATAATAGTGATCACTAAACCAAAGAAAGGTGATAATAATACATCTGCCCTGGTATAGAAATATAGTTTACCAAGGAAGCTTTAGTGTGATGACAAATTGTTGCTTTGAATGCATAAAGGTGGTTTAAACGTCCTAATTGCTACAGCTTCCACAAACTTTAGGATACGCTCTCCTCCAAACACGTTTCACAGATACGTTTAAAAGACGTGTAAATATCAATTTTATATCCTATCTGTGTCATATATCTGCCAGTACAAGAGCTAGGTCCTCTGTTCTCACCATTAATGGATTCTGGGGATTCCATTTGCTTCTAAATCTCAGAGTTAGATCACATTATAAACAACTTCTTTCTTTCTTTTATTAAAGTCCCGGATTCCATTCTTGTGCTTGTAAATTTGAAATAATTTGCCCAATGTCGCGGTAATCTAAAGAGGGGAATTCAATATTTAGGAGTCTTATTGATGCATTCATTCGACTCAAAACTCAGTTATCCAGTTGTGCAAGATAAAGCGGGCGGAGCGGCAGGCCTTAAATCCGTTGAACTCATTGGCTGAAAGCAAAGGGCTGTTGCTAATGCGTCACAAATCTACATTCAGTCGACAGTAATGCAAAAATAACAAGAAACTGATAATTATATATTGCCTACCGTGATAATTTAATGTAAGCAGAATAATATCCATATCATTTCGGCAGATCATACTTCCCATACAATGAGGTCTAAGGTAATCATCTAAAGCTGAGATTAAAATCCATCTATCCACTAGACTATGTCCACCAGTCCATGGACGATTTTGATCGGCACTGAAGTGCATTACTACACGATGATTAAAAGTTGACGGCAACTGAGGATTAGATCCAGCCACATAGATAGAAAACTGAACGCCTATATTCTTTTCTGGATTATCAGTTATGCTAAAAAGAAATAGAAAAGTAGTAAACACAGAATAAGCAGAAATTTCAGAAGTATTTCAATAAATTTCATTTCATAAACACATAACTATAAATAAAATAAAGGTTATTTACTTAATAAATTGGGAATCCTGCTAAGTCGTTCCTATAGTAATTTTAAATCAATAATAAAACAAACATATTCAACAATACATTCAAACAATAAAGAGTTTATAAAATTCAAAAGCAATATTTATCTAGGGTGTGAAATACATTCTCTTTCCTTTCATGTAGGTTTTGAGTTTATTCCAAGCGTAAAGAAGTGAATAACTTTCGGTTAATGAGATTCATGATAATAAAAAGTATGTACTGGATATTGCAATTTCATCTAACTGAATTGAGCAGTGTGATATTTTCCTGTTTCAAACAGCATAATATATTGATGAATATTTATCTATCTGCTTCCATATAGATTCAATGTAATTTAACGTTTGATAGGACACTATTTACTGGTGTTATGCGTCTATTCCTTTCTTTGGTGCAGACTGAATTCTATCAGTCAGGTTTTGGAATGTGGCCACCATTCTAGGTAGCTCGCCATCACGGTGCACATTGTGAATTGATGATATTAGATGGTTGGAGGTGATCGGGCACAGGAAGCCTTGCTTCACCTAGGTTTCGTGCTAGTTGGCACTCACCAGCAAGTCAGCTAGGCGTATTTTCAACCTTGAAGGAACTCAGAGTATCAAAGTATCCAATACAGTCCTACAGGAGATCCATTCCCAGTGAGTGTGAATAGCTCAATGGTAACGTCTCTGACTGCAGTGGTCACTGGGGTGACTCGGGTTCGAATATCAGAAGGGAAATGAGTTCTTTCTAGGTTGCAGATACGCCTTGCTGGTGACTGCCAACTAGCACGAAACTTAGGTTCAACGCTTCTTGCCTTTATCATACAAAATAAGCTAAAAAAAGGAAATCTAAGTTTCGTTGTTTACTGTCTCGTTTCACGGTTATATTATTACATATTGGAGTATAATGTAGATGGAAAGGCTAAAAGTTATGCCTACCTAAATTACGAACGTTTGTTATGGAATTCAAAGTATAATTAACCCAATAAAAGAGTATACGTCACTTCATCGAGACTGCTAGAAAGAGATTCTAGATTCTAATGTAGATTTAGGCAACAACCGACATCATCAACAGAATAACAAGTTGATAAGGGTTAGAATTTACATTTTATGAATTCTAACTCAGTGGAGGGATCACTGAACGACTCACTTAGTAGCATGAAACTTCGAATTCTAGTAGAACCGTTGATAGATATTCGTGAAGAGTTGCAAACTAAGAAAAATAATACTGTAACGACAGAAGACAAGGGTCAGGCAAAAGACCATTTATTGAGAAAATCAATAGATATTTATAGATTTTTATGTATATTATCATTAGCGTTATTGTTAGCAGAGAAATAGCATCTTCTCATTAACTGTTTTCCTGCTGAAGGTTAATCTGCCATCTCTTTGTTGCCGTTTCTTAGACAGTCCGGTGATATATCTGTGAATCGTATCCACCCACTCTGAGTCTGCTGTAATTGGTTGTTGAGTTCCTCATGGCTAAGCCTTATTATCGTTTTTCTCATGACCCGGATTCCGAACGTAACACCGACGTCAATTGTTGTTTACAATTTTGGCTTGTTCGCGGCCAGCTCTCACCACAGTTGTACTTCTGTGAATCATCTTCAGTGCTAAATTTAGTCTGTGAAATGAGCTATGAGAATTTCTCATGAATAAACAGTGAATATAGAAACCACTTGGAATAATTGCTACTTACAAAATAAAAGGGTTTCTCCACTCTATGCTATGTAAACTAAAAGACTCAGTGGCAAAAGAAGATAGAACTAACGACATCTATAAAGTAGATTTCATGCCATATTGATTAAACCGAATACTGTTTTTACCCTTCCATCGTTGGACACAAACCAGCACTCAAAAGACATTATACGCATTCTTTCATATGAATTTACGTGGATAGGTGTTGTTATCATTTCAACCAAGAGAATATCAAAATCTTAGACAGAGGAGGTGAAAAGGTCATCAGAGAATTCCTGAAGGCTTGATGCTGAAATGAGTTTGCAATTTGTGAATACACATGGAATTCACCAGTCACAATAAGAAAAACCACATGATCTAAAGATTATATATCAGGTCAATGGGGAGGGAGGGGACGAGTACCAACTTAATTGAATACAATGGTGAGGAAATCTACGAGAACAACTAATCACATTGAAAGCCACTAAAAGAGATAAATATTTCACCCGTTGGAAATTCCTAAAGCTCATGTCACATGAACGTTACCACCGAAGATGTTGTACAGAAAGACAATGAAAGCTTTGCAGTTAAATTATCTAGTTCAGAGAATGCAGAAATAATAAAAGCATCTTTTTGAGATACACTTTTTAAACAACACTGTTTAATTTGTATATATATGATAATAAAAGTAAGCCAGAAAACTGGTTCTTTTTAAAGCTTATTCACTCTCCAGCGTTCACTAACTGATGTTAGTTAGTGTTGAAGTCTACTATGAAATTAGTCAAAGCCACTGTAAATCCAAAAACCTAAATAAGACACATATGGAATTTATCAAATAACCAATGTATTAATTTATACGGCCTTATTCATTTATTCAGAAATAACGTTTAAGTACACTGAACCTACCACGATACACCTTGTTTTAATTCAAGAAAATCAAATCTTATGATGAGTAGACTGCGTATGTTTTGATTATTTTTGTTAGGTTTTTTTTATCATGCTAAATCAGGAGTGTTGTTTAGTCTGTTGTATGTTTTGCTCAAACGATGTTTCTTTATGAGGCTTAGTGCTTTGCTGTCTTTTGAAATACTTCCATTAAAACTGGGGATTAATCTGACTGTCATTCTATGAGCAATACTGATTTGTTTTGGCATTTACTGCGTAATGGGGGGGGAGAAAAGTGTGTGTTCCGAAGATTTTTCAATCAAATAAACGGAATTAAATACTTCCTCTTCTAAACAGAGTTTATAAAAATAATGTTTTGCTTAAAAGGCTGTCACAGTTAGGCTGTGAAGAAACAGCTGTTTAGTATTATACCTTGGTTTCTATGGTTTTATAATTGATTTTGGTTTGTGATCCAATCTATCCTAAAACTTAGCGAATCCCCATGAAGTAACAGCTGAAAGCTAGATTCAACATGTCATCGTTGATCTAGTAGAATAAGCGGTTAACAGCAGAGTGACGATTGTTTTAGATGGCCTCACTGAATAGAGTTGTTGAATTTCAGATTGTCATTCTAGATATGACAGAGAAGATTTGTAGCTCAGGTGGATGATTTTGAGGTGGTTGTGTTCTCTGAGCTGGATAGTTAATTTGCGAAGCTTTCATCGCCCGCCCTACTAGGCGACATCTTCAGCGCATACTTCAATTTGAAATGAGATTTTCGGATTTCTCCAAGAGTTCACAATTAGTCATCTCTCCTGGTGACCTTGAAAGTGATTGGTTGTCTCTGTGTGTTTTCACACCTTCTAGGCTACTTGTATTGGAACTAATTGTTTCTTTGACTTGAACTTTGATCCTTTGTGTGTGTGAGGTTTCTTTCTTATCGGTTGATAAATTTTGTCTATCTCCATGTGTCTAATGATTGATGATTCACTAGAATGCCGAGCTTCTAAAAATTTTCTAGCATTGTTGGTGTTTCCTCTGTCTAATATTTGAACGTTGGTTGTCCCAAGCGAATCGATGTCTCACAGTGTTATACAGTAATGTTTACTGATGACGTTTCGAGCACAATTTATTGCTCATAATCATATAAAGGTAATCACACGACTTCCTAAATTCATTTATATAGTTCCATTGTTTTTCTCTTGATTTTCACTTGATTGGATTGGTAATAGTATTGTGAGCAATAAATTGTGTTCGAAACGTCATCAGTAAACATTACTGTATAACACTGTGAGACTTTATCAAAACAAAATTTACCCATAATGGAATTACACTCTACCACAGTGCACAAGTTTTATTCTTATATCAACGAATCGATGTCCGTGGTTGTCTGTATCTAATGATATAAGGGAGTGGATATCATGTCTTTTGGCGGCTAGCTTATGTTCGTGGATACGAAGACGAAGGGGACGTTCACTTTAGCTAATGTAGTGTTTTTCGTAGTTATTACAGTTTATTTTGTAGATGATGTTGGTTTTATCTCCTATCGTTGTTCAGTCTTTTGGTTGACATAGAATTGAGTGAAGTGATTTTGTTGGTTTGTGTACGACGTCAATTCCTAAAGGTTTGAAGAGTCTTGTAGTGATTTCTGAGATATCCTTTAAATATGGTAAGGTGATTTTCTTTGTACTTTCGTTGGGGGCTTATGGTTTAATTGTCATTCTCTCAGGATTTTTAAGTTATTGTAAACATATAAGTTTATTATGGACTTCTATGGGATTAACTTGAAGATTTGAAACACAAAGCTATTCATTTGTATTGAATGCATTGTAAGACTGCGTTTATGTATGTTTTTACATCATCTCTTTGAAGTAAGTAAAACTCAAAGGAATACATATATATATTTGCGATTACCGACAGTGAATTTAGATGAAGTTTCCAAAAGTTCTGTGTTGTAATCCATCTGTTTACCGTGTGAAGATTTTCGTTATACAAAGACCTACAATGCTCTTTCTTCTAGTTAGAACTATTGTGCAGGAAAACACAGTGTTCATCTCAGTATAAACTTGTGATAGATTGATGGGTAGAAAGTTGTATAAGACACTGGCATGCTTTATTGTAAGAAATAGAATCTTTTGCACCCTATATTCTCAGACTGGCGCATTTTGAAAAGTATTTGTCAGTACAAATATATGCGAAGCAGAATATCTGAATCTTACTCATCTTGTGGTGACAGCTGGCTGTTAGTCAAAATTGGTGGACAGTAATTTACGTCAATGTTTATGTCCCCAATATTGGTCGTGAGAAAAATGAGAACAAAGGCTTTGCGTAGGTGGATACAGTTAACATATAGATGATCTGACATTCAAGAAACAGCCACAAAGAGACGCTAGGTTAACTTTCTGTGCGAAACAACCAATCAGAAGACTGTGTTTTTCTGCTAACAATAATCTATAGTATGTACATTAGAATCTATAAATATGTGTTGATTTCCTTAATAAACTATCTGTTGCCTGGCCCTTGTCTTCTGTTGTTACAATCTTACTTAGCACCATAGAGAAATTCAGCATCATGCATTAAGTTTGTCGGAGGGGGGCGGGAGGGATGAAGGTTAATTGCATTTTATCAATAATTAATGCTCTGCACATTCTAGACCAAGAGACTTAACTCCTTTCTGATTGTATGGTTTCTTAGCCAAAGAAATGTGTATCATTTTTAAGGGAAATATTTCTTAAATAGAATTTCATATCAAAAGCAATAACAAAACAATATTTTATGTTAATGGAATGTGACTGTCTCCAACCAAGTGAAATTATCATGCTAATAAGCAAATGTTCATCTCGGTCGTATGCTTTAATATACAGTTAAACATGGTGACTGTGAAAGTAATTTTTTGTATCAATTGACTTGATTATACAAGTTTTCAGCAACGCGTCAAACGTGAATTCAATAAATTCAGCACTTTCTGTGTGTTCTGAAATATCATACAACCTACTTCTACAAATAATACAAAATTGTGATCAATAGCTATGTAACAATTAAAATAACCAACTCACTGAAATCTGTGACTTGAAGGTTGTACAGAGTTGCCAATAATAATTCCAAATATAGTCGACCTATCCTTTTCCAATCCTATCCAATGTGATGAGCCGATTTGTCTACCACCTAGAGGGAAGTATGATTAAATGAAGGAGTGACTGGTTAACTTTGGAAAAGTGAATTAAATACCTTTTAAAAGTACCACTGTTAATTTAATCGACAACTATGAGAACCAACCTAGTGATTTGTTCATAAGCGTAGTGTAGAATGATATTCAGTCGTTTTTAAGTTGTAGGTATTTATAAAATAATTAAAGTTAGTTAGAAAGGTAGATATAACAGCCTTTTTTCATAAGTCGTCGTCGGTGGGACATCCATCCTCACACTTGACTGGATGGACCTCATTGGTCACAACTTCTCACTAGAACTCCAGGGAACTCCGTCCTGTAACAAGTCACTAGCAAGCATCAGATTAATTTTCAAGGATCGGAGTCGTGCTAAATGCATCACGAATTGGTGGAAGTTAGAATTCATGGGCTGGGCATTGAGGAATCGTGTCCAAGTGTCTGAATGGTATACGAGATTGCTTGCCTTTTAACCGGAAGGTCGTGGGTTCGAATCCCAGTCGTGGGTTTCGTACTTCCGATAATTCGGTAACTAGGTTGACGAGATAGCTCTCTTGCAGTACTCCCTGTGACTGGTTTCCAATGGTTCTCTAACTGATATCAATCCGTGATCAACTGGTAAAAATATCCATGATCTGTTTACAGATTTTTCTGTAACGACTATACCTGTGTCATCAGAGTTTCATTTTTTCTCTCAGTCCCGAAGACTATTCGACTGAGAGTCTTGTTCTTCACGTATGAGGATGTTGTGACTAGATCCTATGGTGATATTTATCTACAGTGGTTTCGTTTTTATTTCTTTGCATTCTGGTAACCACAGTGTTAACACCATTCAAAATGCCATGCAATTCTTATTGCAGATTTCGTCCAGTATACCAAGACGCTAATTCCTTTATGTGAAAATGAATGTTTTTTAATTGCAAAGTTACATTGTTTACTTACAATCTTAACTAAGACTTGTAGACTTTTCTGAATTCACTTATTATCTCCATAATAATAATAAGAGATTACTGTTATATATATTATATTAGTTCATCCAAACTCTGAAGCTTACCCATATCATAAAGGTGGACACTTGCCCGAGACATATTGGCCATTATCTTATCGTCTACGATTTTTCGTCGAAAACCTTCACCTATAATTGAAAATACAGCACATGCATACAGATTAGGGAATCGATTGTTTGTTTAAAAAGCTTACTTTCTATAGAAAAATAATACTTTTTTTTATAAACTATTGTTTATGGATGTTACATCCTTTGTTTACCCTAATGGCGCACAAGTTAAAGTTGATGAATGCTGAAATTACATGATACGTCAGGGATTAATCCCAACTTGTCACTTCATACTGAGGGTTATCCATATTCAGTTATCATTCGAGAAAACAAAACTTGCATATATGACCAAGTAAACTTGATCAACAGTACTTTAGTAGCAATGAATCTTTTCACACATGAATCGTCATGAATATCGATTCAGTGAAGTTTCACAGGAACTGAATACAAATTGTCGTATTTAAACATTTATATGCATGACCGAATTAGTAATTTATACTAGTAGCCGGTGAATTCATGTAGAAAGGTCCTAGTCAGCTCATACTTTTTATCATAATGTTTTTTCGGAACTATTTGCTTGAGTACTCTTCAAAGCTTAAGCTTAACTGAGCAAAATAACTGATAAACAAACAAAATGACACTCGTGAATATGTGGTGTAGCTCAATAGCGTAAATATGGAGTATGAGGTGATTGATAACGGAATGAAAAAAAGCCGTCAGGAATGTACAGCATACACAGAAGATCGACGCTACGATATCTGAAATACACTGTCACTGAGAGACGTGGTCCTGTTTACACTGTCAAATGAAGAGGTAAACAGAAGCGGGTTAACGCCAGCCGACTGCAGAAATAGATTCAGAAGGAAAAGGAAGCAGGAATCAAGGTACAACAGGAACGGGTAGAACCAAGAAGGTTGGAGCGGCTCCGTTTGCAACTATCTGATGAGGGGTGGGAGGAGAGTGGAGGGTGCTATTGATAAGATTTATCATTAGTTCATTAGCATCAAAATATCAAGTAGTGGAATGGTAGACTTGGCGTCAAAGACAGCCAAACATGAGAGACACGAAAGAAGATAAAGAAACACAATACGAAAACTATAAATAACACAACACGGAAGATCTTTCCAAATTATGATTTGAAGATAACGTGTACGTAATATCCCTATATGTATATATCAAGCAGCAATTAAAGATTCTGTTACAAAATCGCTTATCTTCTCTAGTGGGAGGATAACCTTTAGTAATTAAATGACTAGTGTTGGAAGGGCAGAATGAGGAAGGGCATATCTACGATGTCCTGAACATATACCAAAAAGCTTACGTCTAAAGGGAACAAATGCTTTAAACAGTGCCTTCTCCAGGCATCTCCTCGACACGGGTCATGAGTTGGACGTCGAAAAGTCGTTCAAAATTATCAATAGACAAAAGAGCTCAATTCTCCTTAAGTTTGCTGAAGCCATTTCCATCGAGCGCCTGAAACCTGATTTATGCGTCCAGAAAGAAGCGGTTATCAGTCTTTCTTTGCCTTGTCTGGTAACTGGATATTTTCACCTCTCTTTCTTTCGAATGCAAAATGCTAAAAGTTTGCATTGTGTATGATTATTATTTTTTGGAATAGTGGTTAATATTGCATATTTATATATGTATATTTTTAAGTGTATGAGTATATTGATCGATTGATTTTTGTTTAAGCTGAACTCTGTGCAAGTATGTTAAAATTGTTGTTGTAGATATATTTAATAATGTCTTTGCCATGTAAGCAGCTGACGAGAAGGCAACGAAATAAAAGATGGTACCACTTGGTTCTGCAAAAACTGTAGTTCTTGCTTTGTTCAAATTCATTAATGGGAATAAATGTATGAAATGACTAGTAATCAATTTGATTGAGCAAAAATAAACATTTGTGCAGAAAAAGATGAGGCAATTTATTTCGTTGCTTTCTCTTCAACTACATGGAACCTAAAAATTGATTGTGTATATGTACAGAGAGATTTTAGCATACTTACGAGGGCCATATGAATTTTGGTTAACACAAGCACAAAGTTAACAAACAATGCTCGAAAGTCACACTTATATAATTTACGCAAACAGGTTAAAGTATAAGTAAAATACATTGAAGAGTGAGTTGCGCAAATCAGATCAAAAGAAGTTAGTAATAAGTAACTAATCAGTTGCGTAATGGTGAGTAATAGTTCAAATTATGTCATGGGAGCGAAAAAGGAATAAACTAAGTTAATTTGAGGCACAAATAGCAGCAGGAGTAAAGCGACAGAACTGTGTAGTCAAATGAGAGGAGGAGATTATTGGACGCTGAGTTACCAGTGCAAGGAAAGTCTGACAATCGAAGCTTTCTGGACGTATAAATCATGTTTTAGAAGTTTGTTAGCGACTGCCTCGGGAAATTTGAATAGAGCTGAGTTATATTTTCTGTTAATAATCTTGAAGGATTTCACGGCGTCCACCTCAGTACTCATATCAACAAGATGCTTTGTAATGATATTATTGAAGACATCTGTTACCTTGAGGTTTAAGATTTTTGGTGCGTGTACAGAGAATCGAAGCAGTGCCCTTCTGTCTATTCTATCAATATGACTGCTCCTGTAGATACATTTAAATTCATATACACAATTGAAGTTAACCTTGATAAGGGTGTCTGTTCACTCCCGTCTGTGTCAAACAGCATGATGTTTGATAAACGGTAATCAGCTTTACTGCCGGAAAAATGTTCAATCTTCTTTTGACTATTCCTGCAGTACTACCGCCTAGGTTTCTTATATTCTATGATTTACTTTACATTTAAATTTTCAGATCTTTCTTACTTGATGAATTCGAAGAATAACTATCGTTTCTCAAAATTTCCTCTAGTTTCAGAAGTCCTTCTTCTACCTTTTCAGTGAAGCATATTCTTCTGGTTTTGTGAAGCAGTTCTGACAAATGCTTATATATCGCAGATTGGAGAGAAACTGTTTAAAATTTAAGTGTATGTCATTCAAAGTGGATTTCTAGCAAATAGATCTTTGGGGGCTTCCATCTTTCAAGAGTTGTATGCTAAAATTTCTCTGTACATATACACAATTACCTTTTATGTTGCACGTAGCTGAGGAGAAACCAATGAAATAATTGTTTTGATAGTGTTATTAGAAGACGGAGATTATCGGAAAAATGTGATGTGTTGGCGCTACACATTTCGAACAATCTCTTCACACATTTACTTGTCAAGTCGATGTATATGGAAAAGTTGAATTAAACAAAATGACAAAAAAGAATTAAGGATAATTAACACAACGTTTGGTAATCTAATCAAATAAGGATTACCAAGGTAGGTTCAGAGTAATAACAAACTGTTTTTGAATACACAATACTTGGACAGGGCAATATCTTAATTTTCACAGTTTCTGCCCACTACAGTATAAGAGATGCTTGGTGAAGTGTCTATTTAAAAGGATTCAACGTATTTGCACGGCTGATGTTATAGACAAAGAAAACGAAATGTTGATGGATACTCTTGTTGAAAACGGATGTCCTTTAAAATTTTTAAACAAGTGTAGAAGTTAATCAGTCTCTAAACCTACAATCCATACCGCGCATAAGAAAAAGTTTTTCAGTAAATTACCATATAACGGGGAAATAAACAGTAGGATTTTGAGACAAAGGTTGAATTCGATCACCCGTAGAACCTACTATGCAGCCCAACTTGTAAATGTGGAAAAAGCTAAAAATATGCTTCACTGCAAACCTCAGAAGTGCACAAGTGATTATGTCACATCCCACACAATTTACCAATTTTCGTGTGTGTGTGTGTGGACACACATACATAGGGAGGAGTAATGGCGTTTTGCATGTGAGGGTAGGAGACCGTATCCCAAAATGGTTAGAAAAACAAATGAATTGTGGAAAGCCAATAGATGCAGGTGTCAGACTACCAACTTCGTTTATAACTAAACATTTGATCGAGATGAACCATAAGATTGATGTTAACTCAGCCTTTAAGGTCATCTATAAAAACGGTCAAGGGCGTCTACTGATATACGCTGAGGCTATAGCTATTCATAAACGTAAGCCCCCCTTGTGTATTCAAAAACAGATTGTTATTACTCTAAACCTACCTTGGTAATCCTTATTTGTATTCAAGTGTTGGTTTGTAGGGATTTGATTGGTCTACAGGATTTCATCATGAGCGGACATTAGTTAAAGAGCCATTGGAAAACCTGGGAGTACTGGATAACTGTTTCGTCCTCGTTTGGAATTCTTCAGTAGTAGGGTGCAGCTGGTCGGGTATGAGGACAAATACTCATCACCAAAGACATTGGCTAGGGGTCGCACTATGTCGTGAATTGGCAGGAGTTATAATTCATGGGCTGGCCATTGGATCAGGTCCCAGTGGCTTAATGGTATACGAGATCGCCTTGTAACCAGAAGGTCCTGGGTTCGAACCCTGCCGGTGGGTGCGTACTGGTGAAGAGTCCCAAACTAGGATGAAACAGCAGCTGCTCAGTACTCCCAGGTTTTCCAATAGTTCTCTAACCAATGTCAGCTCATGATGAAATCCTGTAAATCCTTATTTGATTGGATTATCAATCTAAAATCCTTTTTTTGTCACTTCGTTTAATTTAATTGCCCTTAATTTTTTTCATATATATGTGTGATCAGATTGTTCAAAATGCATAGAGTAAATACTTCACATTTTTCAGATAATCTCCGTCTTCTAATAGTGCTGTCAAAATTTATAAAAGGGGCTAATTGTTTGAAATAAGTGTTGACCTAATGTTACTTTATACTAACATTTATTTTCGCTTTGTTTAAATTCATAAGGGGGAATAAGTGTAATAAATAATTTGATATATTTTTGTCTACTTACCAGTAAACACAGTGAAATTCATAATCTTTTCACTTTCAAAGTTTGAAAAGGAAGAATGCTTGTTCTGAACAGATTGACCGGTAATGTCTGAGTCGTCAAATTTAGAGTGTCGAGCACAACCACCCATACGATCGACTACAGCAGCTTCAACTATACCAAGTCCAGATGATTCTATATGAGCTCTGAAAGCATTTGAAGGTGCTGACCAAGGCGATAAATACAGTTGGCCGTCATTAGCTAAACCGGTGACAAGTCCTAGATTTTTTTGAGCTGATACTAGAGTCGGTGCAAAAATAAGTAGATTCTGTAAGTAGTCAAACTTGTCCCACGGACATGTGGGCATTGCTTCTTCTGATTTAGTGGTTGATTGTTTCCCCTGTTCCAGAAGAAGTGAAAGTTGGGCCCATGTAACCGATAGACTGTTTACATCTAGATGATAAAAGTAAATTATATAAATACTTCAGTATGAATTCAACAGACAATATTTAAATTAAGCGTTCTAACTAGTAATAATAATTAATGTATAAAGTATCAAGTATAAAAGAAATTTAGTGAAGACTCTCAGCCACAGAGTTCGAGCTATATGCTCAGAAGAGTTAAGTGAAGATGAATTAGGCAATGTATATGATACTTTGATCAAAAATAGGTATCCTGAAAAATTTATCAAGAAACAAATGACAAACAAAGCTGAAAAGGACTATTCACTATCTGTAAAAAAGAAGCCTCTTTAAATACGACTACAATTCATGGGCGATATACCGAGCGAGATAATTGCGAAGAAATTAAGAAAATCAGTTCAAAGAACTTTTACTGCTGGCGAACTACACGTCTTATTCTCTACACGACCGATGGGGATTCCTCGACTGAAAGATGAAGTACCTAGACTAGCCACTTCAAATTGTATCTACTGATTGAACTGGGCTTGTGGCCGTCGCTCTAGGAACTTGATTTTTCGTGCTCTCTCGAGAACATCTCCCACTATGATTAAGTAAAGGTGTAGTGTAAATCATTAACAGTTCGATGTTGGACCATCTGGTATAAACCGGCCACAAAGCCAGCCAGAGTGGAAGAATCCTTCTCTATAATCTACCGGGTGCCTAATAAATTGCCAAAAACATCGAAGCACCGGATGCTCCAAACAGCAGAGGTTATTGCAATTCGCGTGAAACAACCAGGGCTCTGTATCCAAAAGAAGCTAGTCTAGCCCCTACTATTGCATTGGCCTACAGTAGAGACTATAAATTCGTGAATTTTTCTAACATTCAGCTTATTCTATGTTGATGCTATTCAGCAGTAATCTATCAATATTATTGATTCGATGTTATTTAAACAACATTAATGTTGTTCATAACACTAATTCATTCATTCATTATAATGTATGTATAAATGTAGAGCCTGATGATGAAAGGGTTATCGAAAAGAGTGATCTTTGTTCAGTATATCCATTCATTTGAAAATTAATGTTTCTTTAAAAATATTTGAGTACTAGCAGAAATATGCACAAAAGTGTACTCATAAATCTTGGACAAATGGCATTACTTTTTTAACCAAATTTGGAGAAGGAGATCCCATTCACACAGCAAAATATTTTCCAGTTTTAAAGTATGGCTTTTCAGAAGAAAATCATAAAAACTCTGAAACATTATGGTAATAAACACACACCACTGATGTGGATTGGAAGTCAATCCATGTATACTGGTGTACGTCTTAAAGCACCACTTTTGTGACCATATTTTGTACAATAAAGATCCTTAGTGAAATAATGAGATGCTTTATTTCTATGAATGAGTTTAGGATCACGTTTTTGATTGAAAAAGGTATGTTCAGTAACTGTAACAATTCATTATTTACCAATATATCCACTCGAAAATGCGTCGGTGGCACAACGTTTAGGACGCTTGCCGACCATGCCCCCGGTCCGGGGTTCGATTCCCGGTCGACGAACTCCTTTATTTCGCTGAGCCAGAAATAATGCTGGCAAAGAGGAAAGGTTGGGCATGAGGCTAGCAACCCCATCCTGTAAAATAAACACTGCTACAGAAACTTCAAGCCACTAGCTTGAAGCCCTATGTTCCACAGGGAACGTGAAAGAAAAAATATAAATAAAAATAATATAATATACACTCGAAAATGTTCATTTCTGATTACTGATTCTAATAATCCCTTTAAACTTGTTTTCCATGAGTCTTGGCCCCATGTTACGTAATCATTGCACACTGTTACATTAGCGTTTTAACATTTTGCTGCTTTTCCAGCTTTTAGCATCTTGAATGCTTTCAGGACTTCTGTTTTCGTCAGGGGGTTGATGTTCAGTGGTAATTCTGCTTCCGTTGTTGGTATTGTTGGGCGCGTTATAGGTGGCAGTCGATTTAGAGGTCTTTTGAAGTGTTCAGCCCAGTATTTCCTCTGCTCCACTTCTTTGGTGATTGACTTTCCATTGTCATCCTTGACTGGCTTAATTTGTGTCGAACTTGTGCCCGATAGGTTCCTAGTTGTTTGGTAGAGTGTGGCGAGGTCTCCTTTGCCTGCAGCTTGTTCTGCTTTACTCGCCATGGCTTCATAATATTTTCCATTGTCTTCCCTGGCACTCTTCTTCACTCTTTTGTTCAGCGTATTGTAGCTTGCATTCAAATACTGTTTTTGTTGCTTGTCAGTGCACTGGATAATCTTTTGTTTCTCTATCTTTCTCTTCTCTATTAGTTTCCAAGTGTCCGTAGTGAGCCACTGTTTGTCTTGCCTCTTCTTCCTGCCTAGAACTTCTATGCAGGTTTGACTCCACACCGCTTTCAAGTTGTCCCAGTGCTTTCCGACGTCGACCTCTTCGCTAGTGTTGATTTGTGTCTTGTCTTCGTCCCTTATGCTTGAAGTGATGATGTCCTTGGTATCCTGTTCCTTCAGTTTTCGAGTGTTGAACTTGGCTTGTGGTCTATCTGCAGCTCCTGTTTCCCTGAAAGCTTTTAATTTGATATGGATTATCCTTTGTACGAGATAGTGGTCTGAGCCAACGTCTGCTCCTCTTCTTACTTTTGTGTCCAGTAGGCTGTGCCTCCACTTCCTTGAGATTGAGATGAAGTTAATTTGGTTTGCCCAAATGGTGACACCGATGTAGTCTTGTGGATATCTTTGTGTTTGTACATGCTGCCACCAATCACTAGTTCATTGATGGTGCAGAAGTCGGCAAAGAGTTCTCCATTTTCATTCATTTCTCCCAGAGCTTCTCTACCCATGATGAGTTCCTTTCCTGTGTTGTCTGGTCCCAGTTTGGCGTTCGTGTCTCCCATTAGTATTTTTAGTGTCACCAACTGGAGTATTGTCCATTGTTGCCTGTAGTTGTCTGTAGAATTTTTCTTTCTTTTCAAGGTCGGCGTTGTTTACGGGTGCATAACATTGTATAACTGACACTTTCCTTCCTTTGGGATTGAATCTGGCGGTCATTATCCTAGGCGAGATCGCCTTCCAACTTCAGCTATTTCTCAAGAGTATACAAAAAGCTTTGTTCAAATTTGTGATAATCTGAGAAATAAAAAAATATTTGAAATGAACACCGAACTTTAAATATTGTCCAGCTATTCCATTTCGAAATGTTGATTTCGAAATGGAACTAATATTCTAATTAAACATCTATACTTAGGACTATTAGAACAACGTAAAAGCAGTCGAAATCCACGCAGTATAAAAGACACTTACATCATGTATCAGTTTCTTTCAAACTGCTTAAAATGAGAAGAAATTAGGAGTTCTCGAAAGAATGCAGTAAATATTTACAAATATTCTTTAATTTTAATGGTTCACGTTAACCAGGTTACAGGAGCCCTCTTTATTATAACGCTAACTTTATTCACCACATCTGGTGTCCATCACTTTGAACTTCTAGTCAGTAACTTACTCTGTTGTGTTATTTGCCATATTCCTACATCTGGATTACACGGTGGAATGCAGTTGGGTCGAAGAAATTGATCAATAGCACTGGAAAGTTTCCATCGATAATCTAGTGAATTCGCTGGTCTAGCCGGCCATACTTCTATTGTTTGACTAGTCGGTGATTGAATTGGAGGCAGGATACGCAAACGAACACGATGATTATGCTGAAAAGATTTATCTCGTTTTACACTTTCATACCAGTCTTGTACTTCTACAGTAAAACCAACAGCGATTGGAGTTTTCTGATCAACAGAATGAATAAGAAGCCTGTAGTCACCAAAAAAAGAGAGGGAGCAATGTCAATAATAATAATTTGCTTTATTCCAAAACAGTACTTGTGATACAAAATGGAATTCTCAGCATTTTACTACAGTATTGCATCCAGTTAGTACATTAACAATAAAATAAAATTACACATAGATTATGGGTAGTCTCAGTTATTTTTGACAACAACATATTAGCATATCGGTAGCAAAGCCAAAATTAAACAGAATGTTTGAAGGTGCTAGAAAAGTATATGCTAGCATATTTACTGGCGTAAGCGGTAACGAAAAAGTCGAGATATACAGAGTGTGAAAGAACGGAGAAGAATGAAAGAAAACGTTCTACCTATAAATGATATGAGTTGGAAAGACGAAATCCAGTTGTTCTACTGACTATTTAATAAGTTATAAGTTTCACGCCTAATGCTTTCTTTATCTCACAGAACACGAGCTAAGTAGGGTATGGTTGAGTTTTTGTACTTGCTAGAGCGAGCGTATAGTTTTCTGTATAGGCTTCTGGTTCTGCCTGCCTGATGAGATACAAAGGGAGAGTTATGAATGAAGAGGGCGGTGTGAGTTAGATAGAATGAACTTGGCCCATTTTTCACATGAGTCCATGTGCCCGCCTGTCGACCAGAATATTAACAAGCTGGCTGAGTGGCAAACTGCTTACTCTGCTGACAACCTTTAACATCCTGCGTAATAAGGTATAGTTTTTCTTCAGTAGCCAGCCCAGGAAAAACTAAGGGGGAACAATAGAGAATAGTAGGCAGAATACGGGAGTTGACGAATTGTGGGAGTAAGGGTTGGGTCACACCTGAATGTCTTAACTTCTTGATGTAGAAGGTAAGACGGAATATTTTCTTAGAAATCATCAAGATATGAGGTGACCAGGAAAGACCAGCAGATAGAATGGCGTCTAGGTATATAATTTCTGACTTGGTTTCTATTTCAGTGCCATCATCTATGTTGCACACCTCGTGAGTGCTAACCAGTTTGTTTAGGTGAGATTTGTGCCTAAAGGTGAAATTGACTGTTTGGTATTTGGAGGGATTTAAGGTTAGACCGTTTTCCTTGAACCACTGGCTGATTTCTGATAAAAAGCCGTTTAGTTTGGAGCAGTCACCTTGACATTTGACAGGCAAAGATACAGTCAGGTCATCAGCATATTTGACAAAATTAATGTCATTTGAAGATGGTAAGTCATATAGAAAGAGAGAAAAGAGAAGTGGGGAAAGTACATCACCTTGGGGGCACCAGCTTCGGTGAGTACAGCAGAGAAGGATTTACCTTTGTATACGGTATACTGCATTCTGTTTGAAAAGTTGGAATACAACCAGTTTGTGACCCAGGACTCAGTTTGTGTCGTGGAGAGCTTATTTAGCAAGAGACATCTAGGTACAGAGTCGAAAGCAGAAGTGAAGTTGAGAAACGTGCAGCGGACCTATTTGGCACCTTTATCTAATGATGAGACGATACTGTTGTGTAGGACGGCTGCAGCGTCTAAAGTACTCCTACCCTGTCTGTAGGCAAATTGTTTGGGGTCTTCAAAGCTTTTAAGGGAGGTTTAGAGTTTAAGAAGTACTAGTTTTTCCATCAGTTTTAGAAACGGGGAAGTAGCGGCAGTTGGTCTGAATTATCATTAATATTAGTAATATGTCTGCTTGTATTCACAAAGTTTGATAATACAGATATATCTTGAATTCCAAAATCATTTGAAGCCTGAGTGCTCAGTAACTTCATCATTCTTTCTGTGCGCAGAAAGTTCAATACATTGTTTCTGTCAAACAAGTTATTAATCCCTGACAGTTATTTTCAGGCTTATATACTTAGCTAAAATTTGGACGGGAAAGCTGGCAAAAACTGTTACATTTAAAAATCAATTCTAGCATCAGAAATTAGATACATTATCATATTTTGTGTCTACAAAGTAAAGTTGTTAGAAGACATTTGAGTCTTAGTTAGTTTGTAAATACAATTTAAAGGCTTTCAGAGTTAAGAAAGCAATATACAGAGTGAAGCGTACGTTATCAAGAAAAATATAGTTATTTTCTCCTCTGAATGTTAAATATTATGATCCATCTTTCATTTTTTTTATAAATTTAACTTTATCCTAGAGTACATTTTTTATTCAGTTTCTTCTCTTCTATGCTTTGATAAAAAATCGTGGAAAAAGTAACTAGTTTGAGAATCGTCAGTAGTACGCACCCTCCACACTGGTTTGAACCCTAAACTGGGATTAGGCAGCTGTCCAGTACTCCAGTGCTGGTTTTCAATGGTTCTCTAACTGTTATCAATCCGTAGTCAAACTCGTAAAAACAAAACTAATCCCTGCATACCAACTGTTGAAAATTAATCTGATGCTTGCTTATGACTTGTTACAGGACGGAGTTTCCTGGAGTTCTAGTGAGAAGTTGTGACCAATGAGGTCCATCCAGTCAAGTGTGAGGATGGACTTCCCACTGATGACACTGGTTGGTGGTGGCAATAAATCAGGAAGCGGTAGATGTTAGAATTCCTGGGGTGGCCATTGAGGAATCGTGTCCAAGTGGTTGAATGTTACACGAGCCAGCTTGACTTGTACCCGGGTGGTCCTGGGTTCAAACCGTGGTGGTGTGTGCATACTGTCGATGATTCCCAGACTAAGCTGACGAGACAGCTGTCTGTCAGTAATCCAGTTCTTGTTTTCAGTGGTTCACTAAGTGACGTCAATTCGTGTAATCCTTAAAAACCAACTCTTGAATAAGCTTACTAACAAGCATAATGCAGATATTATAAAGACAGACGGTATTTTATTAAAGGAATATTTTGGGTACTGTGCAATAGAACTAAAAGACCCTTTGAATTTCAATTATTAGATCTTAGTTACTAACTAACATCATTCGGAGAGATTACTGAAGACCAGGGAGTGCTGGACAGTTGTTTCGCCCCATTTCGGCTGTTCTTCATCAGTTTTCGCTGACGACCGCATCGCCAGGGATCAGGCACTGGACATTCGTGTTACTAGACGAAACTCATTGACCATTCAACCTCTTGGAGTGGAATTTATTGACCCGTGGATTCTAACTTCACCAACACTCTCTGAATGATATTGATTCGTGCTAGAAATCTAACAACTAAAATTAATCCGAAATCCACACAAATTCTATAATCTTATACCTCTGAATTATTTTTATGATAGGTATTAATGTTACACATAACTCCTAATAATTAAATTTCGTATATGTATGATCCTGATAACTTTGTTTTGCATATTTTCTATGAATTCAGTGGAAGAGTAGATTTCAAGTGTGATGCTTATCCAATACACTACAGAGAACTATGAATATTATCCTGACCAGTGATTAGTCGCCACCTCTGAATTTCTGTCATCAGACATGTGTTTGAACAATTTTGTGAGTGATAATTGGACGGAAGTGTTCCCATTTTTTTTACATAGTTATATAGGATTATTAGATGAAACGACATAAAGAATATATCTGTAAATAATGTTGTCTGGCTAACATAAAGTAACCAATTAAAATGTTCCTAAATAGCTGACTCCAGGTTGACTGACGAAATTTGTCTGCCGCTAGTTAAAACTACAGTGACCCCCTATATCCTTTGCGTACACCAAAATTTATTATTTCTGTGTAATTTCAACCTTCTAATGATATTGAGGTTGAGCGATTGAACTCAGAGTAGAAAATCATACAAAAGAAGACCTAATGTTAATTATTGGTTTTAGGATACACAGAGCAGATTTAAATTTTCACATTTATGATTAAGTCTCTGACATTTTCTGGAAGCTATCTGTTTTAGAGCCAGTTTTATTATACGTATGTTTGATGTATTTACTGTGAACTGAAACAGTCTTTTGGTAAGTATGCCTAATAAGGTTTAGAAGTGAAGCTGTTTTTGAAGGCATCCTGGCTGTTTACAGCCATGTAATTGCATGTAGAATGGCCCATATTGCAGGTGTGCACGTTCTAACCGTTGCATAATGTTTCAGTGATAAAAGACTCATTATTATACTATTTCCCTACTTACGGTTTTATAACGTGGTATGTTTCTTGAATAAAGTATAGGGTGAATTCCAGTATTGAATGACTTCTGTGGCGCCTTAATATTTTAATAAATCTTAATAAATTAGACTTTGCCCTATCCAATTAGATTTGATGTAAGTCGGCCATCTCATGAATTAAATTCCATCTTTATCACCTCAAAACTTACATAAATCTGACTTCTTATAGCCTTCAGACTCTTAAATATCCAAGTAGCATCTGTAGCGCTTGTCTGTATTGGTACAATGTTGTAATCATATCTTCGATGGGTAATTATTTTTATTTTTTATCATTTATTTTATTCCTTTAAGTTCCCAGTGGAAAACGGAGCTTCAGGCTAGAGGCTCAAAGTTTCTGTAGCAGTGTTTATTTTTACAGGGTCGGGTTGCTAGCCTCATTCTCAACCTTCCCTTTTTACCAGTCCTATTCCTGGCTTTGCGAGATAAAGGAATGCGTCGGCTGGGAACCGAACCCCGGACCACAAGAGGTGTGGTCGGCAAGCATTCTAACGCCGTGCCACCGACACCCGTAGGAAGTAAGTTTGCCGGAAAAAGCTGTAAGAACAACTTCCGAAATGTAAATTCTAATCGCTTAAGGCATTTTTAAAGGCAGTGACGAGAACAAGATACAATTTTAAGTATTCTTCAAGGTCACATGATAACAACCCGTTAGAAGATACTGGAGTAATGAAAAAAGAGAATCTACTATGTGATCACAAATGAAAATATGTTTTTCTCAAGAAGTCAATCTCGAAGTTCAGGTGTCGGTTTACAAGGATTTGACTGTTCTCAGGATTTCATCATGAGTTGATATCGGTTAGGAAACCATTTCGAAACCTGTTAGAACTTGACAATGGTTTCGTCAAGCTAGTTTGAGACTCCTCAACAGGATGTACCGCCGCCAGGGGTCGAACCTGGGACCTTTTGGTTACAAGGTCAGCTAGTTCGTAGACCATTAAGCC